GCAGGAGCGTCTGCTGGTGTTGGTGATGACCCACTGCATCTTCTGGGTATTCCCAATGGTCTAATGGTTAGTACTACTCTGTTATTAAAAAAGACCCGTGCACTTTGCAAGCGATCCGACATTCATGAACACTTTTCACGATGGCAAAACCAGAGTACGCGCCTTCACAGGAGTCGTCTCACAGAACACGGTCTCAGTTCCTCACCTTAATAAGTGACAACTAACCAGAGAAAGTAATATTGCAGAAGAAAAATATGTTGATGGAAGAAGCAATTGTTGTCTGTGTAAAAATGTAAATTACCTTACACATAATTTCGTAAACATCAACATGTTCAAACACATGTATTTGTGCTAAACAGCCCACTGCTGCATTTCGCACAGATACGCCACGGTCTGAAACAAGGTGCGCGATGTCCTTCACAGCAGCACTGACATCAGGTGTGCAAACTTGCACTCCCTTGTCTTCAATAAGTGATCCAATATGCACAAGACATTCTGAAGAATGAAAAATCCCAATCATTAGTGTCACCAAGATACAAAATGTTCCATTACAAAATTATTTCACACAAAGCTCAAATCAAATCCTACAGAACAATGAAATGTCACAAATTAGAAGCTACAATTCAATTAATCCCTCCTTATTGTGTAAAATCAGATAATGAAAGAACTAATTTAACAATAAAGAGACAAAAATATCTTACATAAGGTCAGAAAAAAGTTGACTTTTCATTTAAAGAACAAAAGAAAATTTCAGAACATTTTCGGTTTTCTAGTTTAGGTCACTTTTACGGCTTGGGCACAAAGTTGTAAGGAAAGACAGGTTTTTCATCAACTGTACATTCAGTGCTGCATTTCGCACAGAATTGCCACCTGAGGCATTTCCTCGTAGCCTCTCCACCAGAACTTGAATGGATTGCCAGTCTTATAGTACTGTATATTATATTTGTAATGTCCATCGTATTCTTGTATTTCATGTGTTGTAATATAGCCTTATTTATTTATTTATTTATTTAGTGTTCTGTCTGACGACAGGTCCATATGAACAGGATCCTTCCATCCTTTTCTCGGACTGGGACCTGTTCATATACGTTCTTGGCAGATGATCCAGAAGTGGTTTGCCATTGCCTTCTTCTGTGTGTGAATGGAGTAATTGTTGGGATGCCACGAAGGAAAACTCCGTGTTGCCTAGACCACGGCCTTCCCCAACACAAGTTATAAAGTCGG